CAGCAGCAGCGGAAAAGGACCCAAGGTCTACAAGATTAAGCTCACACATGTCGCTGAGATCAACCCCGAGTACGCGCTAGTTTATGTAACAACCTCTGCACCTCTGATCGCGACATGCAGGGTCTTGAAGCGCTTCATCAATGGGGACCAATCTCACGACAACGCGGTCCTTACTGCTATCACGGCGCTGAACGTCGTGATTCGCATGGAGGCAGGTCCTCCTTGCCGCTCGACTTTCTTTTGTCTTATTTATCCACAGCCGACCATGAACTACCCATTCAACGTCCGCTCCTTCTTCACCAACCGCGAGACAAAGGACATCGGTGCCGGTTTGGAGCTTTGGGTATGTGGAATGCCCGCGTCGCCTTTCTGTCGCTGACCCTAAATTCCAGCGAGGCTACTTCCAATCGATTCGTCCTGCCATGGGCAAGATGCTCATAAATGTCGACATCTCCACCGGCACGATGTACAAGCACGGACCCCTCCTCCGCCTTTGCCTCGAGTACATCTGCAAGAACGATCCGAATGCATTGGCGCCCAAGCGCGGTCTCCCCGATCGTGAACGCCTCCGCCTCCAGCGCTTCATCAGCGGCATTCGCGTTCTGACGACCCACGCCGGGCCCTCCGGCGAGGTGCAGACCCCTCGCGTAATCAAGAAGCTCAGCACTGCCGGCGCGAGCTCCCTCACGTTCCAGATGCGCGAGGGCCAAACCATGACTGTCGCGGATTATTTCAAGAACACCCAGAACAAGCCGCTCCAGTTCCCGGACGTGATCTGTTGCGAGGTCGGCTCCGGCGCACTTATCCCTTTGGGTATGTTAACTTGTCGAATCTACTGTGCCGTTCTGACAGCCTCTTATAGAGCTTTGCACTGTTCCCCCCGGACAAGTGGGTTGATAATCTTTGTTTTTAACTTGGCCCAACCTTCGTTCCAGCTTATGAGGAAGCAAGTTCCCCCTGAGAAGACCAAGGATGTGTGCGCTCGTCCTTCCCTGCCCGGGGTGCCTGCTCATCGCTCCATCTTCCAGCCTCGACTTTGCGACCAAGAAACCGGGAGATCGCCTGAGGAGCATCGTCAACGGTCTCGGGGTATGGCGACTTTCCCCCTGCACGCAGCGCAGATCTCACTCTTTCTCAACAGGTTCTCGCCTACGGGCAATCGGAATACGTCCGCCAGTTCGGCATGACCGTCGACCACGCCGCGGGCCCGCTCAAGGTCCAGGCCAGGGTCTTGAAGCCCCCGATGCTGAAATATGGAGCCGGCTCCCGCCAGCTGACAATCGTACATCGCTCTTCTGCATTCAACTCGCTTGCTCACTTTTTCCGCTAGACCCCTCGCGATGGTGCGTGGAACATGGTCGACAAGCGGTTCTTCAAGCCGGTCGCCATCGAACGATGGGTGGTCGTCATCTATGAGCGGCAGGTTTGTCGTCTTCGCCCCACTCTTTCTCTTCTTCCGACTGAGAATATTAACAGGCTCGTTTCAACGAGAACGCGGCGCGCGATATGGTTAATGGGCTCGTTGGCAGCTGCCGTGACGTTGGTGAGCCGCCCTTCACCTTCCGCCCACTCCAACTCATCGGATGCGTCGTCAGGCATCAAACTCGCCGACAATCCGATGCTCTTTTGGGAGAACGGTCAGGGTCGCATCGCCGACCAGCTTAGAGCGGCCGGCGCCGCATGTGCCAAAAAGCACAAGGCAGGCCCAAACTTAATGGTCGTCATTCTTCCCGAGGTGAGCAGGTTCTTCTCGGATGAAGCACGGCTTAGCGACACCCACCATAGGGCGGCAACGACATATACACCTCAGTCAAGCAGTACGCTCCTTTCTCCCTTGTTTAGCTTGCGCGGGCTCATTCATCTCTTTCCTAAGCTTCGGGGACATCACGGTCTGTCTTTATCCTCCCTTGAATCTGCCTTTGATTGACTTTTGGTCTCTAGATGGGTGTCGCGACACAGTGCTTAAAGTCAAGTAAATGCTTCCGCGCGAAACCTCAGTACTATGCGAACGTTTGCCTCAAGTGCGTTCTTTTTTCTGTCAGCGGAGTTTTGGTCTTGAGACCTGCACAGGATTAACGTCAAGCTGGGTGGTATCAACACGATCCCAGACCCGTCGTCCGTCTCCGTCTTGACCGACCAACATAACCCCACCATCGTCATGGGCGGTCCGTCCATCTTTTATCCTCTCCGCCCTTTACTCACTCACCCTCGCTGCAGCTGATGTTTGTCAATCTCGAGTATCTCTGGCTTTACTCTGAGTAGTATATCTCAGGTCATTCACCCCGCCCCTGGCTCCGACGGTCGCCCCTCGTTCACCGCCCTCGTCGCCAACGTTGACTCGGACACCGCCAAGTACATCGCCGCGAGCCGCGTCCAGACTTCTCGTCAAGAAATGATCGAGGAGCTGGAATCCATGAGCCACCACTGCCTCTCGATGTATATGAAGTACAGACAGATGGCGGAGAAGAAGGCGGCCGGGAATGTAGCCCCCAAGCGCATCATCTTCTACCGCGGTGTGTTTCCCCGATGATTCCGTCTCTTCCTCTCCCTGAGATTTGCCCGCAGATGGTGTTTCCGAAGGTCAATTCAAGCAGGTGTTAGAGCAAGGTTTGTTTCAGCCCGCTTTTTTTCTTTAGTGTACTGATTCTGCGATAGAACTGCCGCTGATCAAGAGTTTGCAATCTCGCGCTTTCATCTACACCTCGTCTCATTCTTCTCCCCGCAGAGGCATGCGCATCCCTGAAAATCAACCCGAAGATCACTATCCTTGTTGTCGGAAAGGTTCGTCCAACATTACCATCCTTCCGCGCCGTTCCCTGACTGGGCCTCGCAGCGCCACCACGTCAGGTATGCCGTCCTCCGCGTCGTCGCACTTGCCGCGACCAGCTCGCTCTACAGATTCTTCCCGCAGTCGGAGCGCGATGCGGACCGCAGCGGCAACTGCAGAGCCGGCACCGTTGTCGACAGGGAGGTCTCCCACCCCACCGAGTTCGACTTCTACCTCCAGTCGCACGGAGGGCTGCTCGGTGGGACAACTCGCTGCCATGCAAACTCACCACTCATCTCCGATCCGTTCGCTAGGCACCAGTCGCCCCGCCCACTATTCCGTCTTGTACGACGTGAGTATCCTTCTCCTCGTCGCCTTACTTGTTCTGACCCGCGGCCCAGGAAAACAACTTCAGGTGACTTCCGCTCCTCTCCTTGGCTCCATCAATCTTATGTGCCGCAACCCAGCGCCGACGCGCTGCAGTCTCTGTCGTTCGCGCTGTGCCATGTCTACGCACGTTCGACGCGCTCTGTGTCGATTCCGGCGCCCGTATACTGTGGGTCGCTGACCCATGTATCGCTTCCTTCGTCGCTCACTTCCTTCCAGACGCGGACATCGTCTGCTCCAGGGCCAAGAACCACTATGATCCGCAGGGCACCGTCGATTTCTCGGACTCGGCGACTCAGGTCGACGATGCGCAGGCCAGCAGCTCGCTCGAGGCTTTCAGACGCGGCTTCAAGCCGCTGCACCAGTCGCAGTCGACGCTGATGTACTTCTCCGTTCGTGACTCCTCGCACCTTGCTAGCTTCTTTGGCTGACACCATCGTGCAGTAATCTACTCGCTGTATCGATTATCTTGGTACGTCGCGCCAGCTGATACTCCGTGTATGTGCTCATCTGCCTGGAAGGAACTGATGCAACTCTGTATTGATATCTAGTGCGACGATTTAATACTTGTGTTACTGTACATACTCACCTTCAATCTCCTTCAATCATTGTATTTGCTCGCGATGACGTGACGGACAGAGCGGGCCGGACTTTGATAAGATAAGATATCGACGCGATCGATCCCCGCCCTTGTATGACGTCACGCGCCAGTGTTGGAGTGACACGCCCCCTCGTCGTTCCCAACTTGTTGCGTCTGCCTCTGAAATGCCATCGTTCAACGTCGTCTGCCCCGAATTTCTCCTCGTCGCGGCGAGAATCCCGCTCGTGGCCGTGGGGCTGCCTCTGGGTCTCGGCATTCTGTCAGGCTATCCCACCGCTGAAGTCGCTTCAAGTGATTGGTACAAGGTCGCCCAATGTTCTCCGAGCTTCCTGGAGCCAGCTGACGGTGTTATAGAACTTGCGCACGCCTCCAGGTCGCCCGCCGCGCCAGGTCTTCCCCATTGTCTGGCCCATGCTTTACATCTGTACGGCTCCTAGTTCTCAGCGCATTCAACATCTTTGATAATGACCTGGCGGTCTATAGCAATGGGATATGCTTCGCATCTCGCGGTGAAGGCCCTGGACAACGCTCTCTCTCCGTCAGCTCGGTGCGTGTTTCTTATGCAGATATTACACTGTCTAACAAATCATCCATCTGATTCCAGGTCCGACTGCCAGCTCGCTCTTTCCCTGTATTACACCCAGCTCGCCCTGAATTTTGCCTGGACCCCGTTGTTCTTCGGTGCCAAGAAGGTAAGGCGACTAGCACATTCCCCGGTCACATATCTTATTCCCACAGACCGGAACGGCGCTGATCGACAGCGGACTCATGGCAATGGCGACGTTTTATATGACTGTAAAGCGCCAGACCTCCTCCGATGAATGTTCGCTCACCCACCGCTAGAAACTGCTCGCCGAGCACTCTCCCCCAGCCGCCTATCTGCTCTTACCGTACTGTGCCTGGCTCTCGTTTGCAACCTATCTCAACGGAGGAATCTGGTGGTTGAACCGGTGTGACACGGGGGAGTCCTCCCTGAGCCTGAAACGCAGTGACTAGCTACTTGAATAATGGGATGTCCGCATGCCTCTTGCTCCAATGCAATAGTGAATTCTATGGGAACCCTCATTCAGATGGAAAAGTCTACAAGTCCACCTGAAAAAGCAATCTAAGGTCGGTCGATACTAGTGAAGACGACGCACCTTGAGCAGCGTGAAGAGAAGGAAGTGTTAGTTGTTTCTTATGTTGTTGTTACGACGCCGGAAGGTTTGCACAATCAATAGGCTCAGTTGAAATTCGGATCAAAAGAGGTCGTGCCCGGAATCGAACCGGGGTCACCAGAAATCCTTGTATCAGAATCTGGTGTGATAACCGCTACACTACACAACCGATGTTCATGTGTGCCTAGCATACCATAAAGCTTTCTGATGGTGTTGATATGACCAAAAGGGCAGGGGTGGGTGCCCGGCCCGGAGAGCCGAGCTACCCCTGACCGACTCGGACTAGCTCGGACTTACTTATTTTGAGCTCATCCATGTTTATAAGTGTAACGGACTAGCTCGGTCTTGACTTATCCTGGACTCATCCATGTTTCTACCATTATTCCTGGACGAGGGGGCCGAGCTGCTCGACGCCCTCATTCGTGTTGGGCCCATAATCCTTTCCTCGTCTCGCTCTCCCGCTCTCCCGCTTCCTCCCCACGCTTTCATCCTCGTTGATCCATCCCGTCCGTTCGTGCTCGAGGAAGCCATCTCATGGCTCGATAATGGCGTCGAAAAGCTCATAGTTCCCCTCGCATGGGCAAAGGAACTCATCGATCTCATCTCTTCCGAGAGATTGCTCCTTCTGCTCGACGTTGGGAACGTCAGCGCGGTCTCGGACACGGTCCGCAATGGCGTTTCTGGTGTATTGCTCAAGACACCTGCTATCGATCTGGATCTCATCGCCTCCATATCCAAGTTTTTTACCGGCTCTGTCATCCATGTACTTGCAAACTCCTCTGCTCCCCCATCCCAGTCCTTGATGCGCGGTTTGCTCGGAATTGGTGCAACACCAGTTCTCCCGGCTTCGCAGCTCACTCTCGGTGGGACCTCCGCCTCCCAAATAAATATCGCAGACGCGTTCCTTGCTCCAATTGTATCTGATCGCCCGGATGGACTCTTTCCTACCATTGTTTCCACAGAAACGGGGCATTCGCTCGGCCTCGTCTATTCCTCGTCCGCGTCCGTCAAGGAGAGCATTCTTACGGGAAAGGGCGTGTATCAGTCGCGCAAGCACGGATTGTGGAGAAAGGGCGAGACATCCGGTGCAACTCAGGATGTTGTTAGCATCCGCTTAGACTGCGACTCGGACAGTCTCGAGTTTCGTGTTAAGCAGCACGGTGCGGGATTCTGCCATCTCAACCGGCAGTCATGTTACGGTGAGACGCGCGGTTTGCCTGCCTTAGAAAGTACCCTCCGGTCCCGCTTCGAGTCTGCGCCGGAAGGCTCGTACACAAAGCGCCTCTTCAGCGATCCGGAGCTGTTGCGCTCCAAAATTATGGAGGAGGCAGACGAGCTGTGCCGGGCGGAGGACAGTACCGCCATCGCGTTCGAAGCTGCCGACCTGATCTATTTCGCTCTGACCAAGTGCATCGCCGCTGGGGTTGGGATCTCTGAGATCGAAGCTTCACTCGACAAGAAAGCGCGACGGGTGACGCGGAGAACAGGAAATGCAAAGCCTGAATGGTCGAAGAAGCCGGCTGCCTCCCCACCAGAACCCTCCGTTATCGATGCGGAAGGAGACGATGCAATCCGCATGCGCACATTCGACCTTGCCCACATCTCTTCCGACGAGCGCGACGCCTTACTCCGCCGCCCTGTTATGAATTCGGGCGAAATGATCACCAGGGTGAAGCCGATCGTCGACGATGTCCGCACTCGTGGGGACGCCGCCCTGCTCGAACTGACCGCGAAATTCGACAAGGCGGAGCTGACATCCACGGTTGTATTCCCGCCCTTTGCGGCAGATACCATGGTCGTCGACCCCGAAGTCGGCGAGGCAATTAAAATCGCGTATCGGAACATTAGAAAGTTCCACGAAGCGCAAGCTGATAGGACCACCCTCAGGGTAGAGACAATGCCCGGCGTTGTCTGCTCCCGTTTCGCGCGACCCATCGCGCGTGTGGGCCTATATGTTCCCGGCGGCACTGCTATTCTCCCCTCGACCGCTCTCATGCTGGGAATACCTGCTCAAGTCGCTGGGTGCCAACAAATCGTGCTGGCGACACCGCCACGGCCTGACGGCAGCATCTCCCCAGAGGTGATGTACGTCGCAAACCTGGTCGGCGCATCCGCGGTCCTGAAAGCCGGTGGGGCTCAGGCCGTTGCGGCGCTAGCATACGGGACAGAAACCGTCCCCAAAGTCGATAAGATAATCGGCCCGGGCAACCAATGGGTCACTGCGGCGAAGATGCTCGTCCAGAACGACACCGATGCGCTCGTGTCCATTGATATGCCCGCTGGGCCATCAGAGGTTCTTGTGAGTCTCACGAATCTCCAATGTACGAAGTCGTCTCTCAAGGGAGTTTGCAGGTCATTGCAGATTACACCGCGAATCCGGCATTCGTTGCCGCGGACCTGCTTTCCCAGGCTGAGCATGGCGTCGACTCGCAGGTCGTGCTCGTAGGCGTAAATCTGGATGCAGAAAAACTGGCCGAAATAGAAAATGAAGTGGACATCCAAGCGCATGCTCTGTCTCGCGTAGACATCGTGCGCAAGTCTGTCAGCGGAAGCCTCATCGTGAAATGCAAATTCGTGGAGGAGGCTATTGCGTTCTCCAACGACTACGCTCCAGAACACTTGATTCTCCACTTGGAGAATGCCAGCGAGAAAGTTCAGTTTATCAATAACGCCGGCAGCGTGTTCGTCGGACCTTACACCCCGGAAAGGTATGCCCGCACTCCTCCTTGTCAAGACCGTCAGATTCTCAATTTGAACCAGCTGCGGAGATTACGCCTCGGGCACAAATCACACTCTGCCAACAAATGGTTATGCGCGTCAATACAGCGGGGTCAACACTCTGTCATTCCAAAAGCACATAACATCGCAAGAAATCACCGCAGCAGGTCTGAAAACGCTGGGACCCGTGGTAGCAACGTTGGCCGACTGCGAAGGCTTGCAAGCGCACGCGAACGCGGTTCGCATCCGTCTAAGGTCTTAGTGTGCGAAGTAGTCTATCTTGTAAGTATGAGGGAAGCACGAATAAATAGAGGGCTAGTTAGTGCGATAAAGTGCCCGTTTTGCGACTTTCACGATCAGCGGAGTGTCGGGGAAAGCAAGGTTCTCGAGGTTGGTTGCGTACTGCGAAAAACATGAGCCCCAAAAGCACATAGAATGTTTTCTCGGGTACGTACCGGTGTGGGGACGTCGGCGCCCGTCACCCGCTCAACTGGAGCATCCAGGTAGTCAAACGCCTCGCTCTCAACGATCTGGGCGCAGATTTCGCTGCCAACACCAAAAGCAGGGAAACCACCCTCAACGATGACCAGCCTGGCGGAAAACGTCAGTGGACCTCTAGAACTGTAGGTAGTGACTCACCTGTTCGTCTTCTTGACCGACTTGATAATTGTGTCGATATCGAGCGGACGGATGCTTCGCAAGTTGATGACCTCGGCGTTGATGCCCTCCTTGGCCAGGGCCTCTGCTGCCTCAAGACTGTGGGTGACCATTTTGCTGTGCGCGACCAAGGTGATGTCGCTGCCCTCACGCTCAACCTTGCACTTCCCGATGGGTACCGTGAAGTTATCGGACATTGCCTCCGCAGACATCGGGAATGAGACACCGTACAACATTTCGTTCTCGAGGAAAACGACGGGGTTCGGGTCGCGAATAGCGGACTAAGGAACGTGAGTGAACGAAGACATCGCGAACTTTTAGTGCGCACCTTCAGCAGACCCTTGCAATCCTCCGCGCTCCAAGGGCTGACCACCTTGAGCCCCGGGACTGAGCCGTACCATGCGGCGTAGTCCTGCGAGTGCTGTGCCGCTACACCGGATGCAGCACCATTCGGCCCGCGGAAAACGACTGGGCACGGCACGTTTCCACCCGACATGTAATAGGTTTTGCCAGCGGAGTTCACAATCTGGTCAATTGCCTGCATGGCAAAGTTGAAGGTCATGAACTCGCATCTACAGAGAGCCACAGTGAGCGGGAATTACGCGGTCAGAGGCGAGATACGTACATCGGACGCAAGCCAGATAACGCGGCGCCGACGGCCAGCCCAGCAAAACCCATTTCTGTGATTGGCGTGTCGACGACCCGCTTCTCACCGAACTTATCGAGCAGGCCCTTGGTGACCTAGAAAGACGCGGGATAAGTGCGCGCGTGCGGGAAGACACGGGATGCAGAGACCTTGTACGCGCCGTTGTAGCGCGCGACCTCCTCGCCGAGGATGAAGACCTTCTCGTCGCGAATCATTTCCTCCTCCATGGCCGCGTTGAGGGCATCGCGGACGGTCATCTGGGCACCATATGAGAAAGCGAAGACAGACGAAAAAATATCGTACGGTGTGCTCTGCTTCTGAGGAGGCATGGCGGCGGGCACGGAAGGCATGGGAAGCAGCGAGTGGGCGGGGGCGGGCGAGGCGGGCAAGGGTGAGGCGGGCTGCCATGTAGGGGAGAGTACTAGAAGAAAGAGACCAAAAGCTAGAAATCAATCCCCAGTCCGAATAGATCCGTTTACAGCCTACATGATGCCGACCCCAACCATTCTCATTACCGGCGCGTCCAAGGTACTATGCTTCCACCGCTATCGCCCAGGCTTCAATTCCACTAGGGCATAGGCCTTGCTGTCACCGCCATCCTGCTCAGCAAATACAAGGCCAATGTCGTCGCCGTGTCCCGCACTCGCTCTCCAGAACTACTGGCTTTGGCGTCCGACTCGCTCCTCCTCATCGACGCCGACGTGTCAGTCCCTGCATCCGCCGTCCGCTTGTAACCTGTTGAAAGTCATGATCAGCACAAATGCGGAGGCTCTTGCGGCCGCCGTGGCTGTAGGAATCAAGACTTTTTCAAGCATTGATGCGCTCATTCTGAACGCCGCAACACTCGCCCCTCTATGTAGAATCGGCGATGATACTCCTATGAACGAGTGGAAGTCCCATTTCGACGTTAATTTCTTCTCCTTGGTCACCGCACTCAAGGCTACGTTACCGGCTCTCCGCAAAAGCGAACTCGGGGGTATGTCGAAAGAACTCCTAAGCTCTCCATTCATCTCCGCCGCGCTCTGTTAGGCCGTGTCGTATTTGTCAGTTCTGGCGCCGCGACCAAAGGAACCCTGGGTTGGGGCCCTTACAATGCCAGCAAGGTACGCGTTTCTTGGCATGCAAACTGACAGTTCCTCAAACGTTGC